AGGATATTTCCAAAAAGGGGATTTTAACTGGTTTGGCGCTTGTCGAGGGGAATCAAAGATACGACGTCGTTTTGCATAATCGTTTGAATGGACGACACGGTGTGTATTTTTTCGAGTCCAAAACAACGTGAAGTTTGAGTTTAGGATTATCTTCGTCGTTAAATTTGAAAACTTGAATAGAAGCGCTCCTTCTGCAATATATCTAGCACAGATTCAGTCATATTTTAATTTAGATAAGTTTGTTTTTATCCCTAAGTGTAATATTAGTAAATTCTTCATAATGCAAATTATGCAATGCATTAGAGTCACACATACAGACAGACTTTTTATTAATATCTTCACATCATTCAACATATAATCACAAAAAATAACTAAATAAAAATGGGCATAGATTGACCAAACAAATAAAAAACAAATATCAATAGTACACAATCAATAAACATGAGGTGGATTCATATATAAAACTCAATTTTGAATCAAGCATTGATGATATATACATACATACATTGATCTATAGACGATCTACAAAAAAAACATGTTATATCGCCATTGTGGACAAATCATCTCTGCAACTGATGTTTTCCAGTGTTGTGAAAGAAACCAATTCGTTTTCATGTTATGTTCACTGCCAAAAACCAAAAACATGAAGAGAATGTTTTTGGTTATGCCTTAAACAAGAGAAGGCGTTGAAATGAGAATATAGATACTTAACACAAACATATATACAGTACCGATTCTTTTGAGCAGCCATAGAATAAGAGCAAGCTCGAAGCTGAAGATCATACGCAACCATGTTTTGTCTACTAAGAATCCGTAAACAGTGATTCCAGCTTTGTTGTTCTCTAGATATGTCACTATACATACAAGAAGAAAACCGAATTAGTTAAAACAGTGAAAAAGAATTGTTCCAATCATCGTCTAAATAAAAGATATCTTTACCTAGAGCTTGACGTTTCTGGAAAGAAATGGCGCGGGCGTAGATTGGATGTATCACGGTATTGTCAAGATCACTGTCTCCTTCACCTTCGTCATCATCATCAGATGATTGAATAACATTACGACGGCGCGATAAAATCTGAACATGTTGTCTAGACGTTGTACATTGAGGAGTCTCTCCGTCATTAAGATCATCGAATGTATCTAAAGTGGCGCAAACGTTCCACTTTGTCGCGATGCTCGTTACAGATTGAGCTTTGTTAGTCATATGTGTTGCACTTTTCAAACATATGAAAAGCCCTGACACCAAACTTATAGAGCATAACTGTAAACAAAAACAGAGCTTTTTAGACAAGAACATGATTAAACATTTGGCGTCTCGATTATAAAAGTGAAAGAGAAATTATTACCGCGAGCTCGCCAACTTCATAGATATTAAAGGGAACGCTAGCTCTCATTGTAGTAAGCAAGGCCGTGAACTGAGTGGCAGTGACGAAAATCAATGACAATAGAATAAATCGTCTGAACCTGTGGCTTATAATCTTCAGTTCACGCCGGATTTTGAGATGTTCGGCGAGTGTGAAACTAAAATCAGTGATCTCAGAGGAGAAGCAACGGGCGAATTCATCGAGACGGAGTATTTGGAGACGGCAAATGATTTGGTAGAAGATACAGGCAATGATGAAGAGTGATGTACGGTAGAGCCAAGAGGAGAGCTGGAGTGTGCAGGCTAAGGAATGGCTTAGTATTGGGTTGATAATGTAAGGGATTTGGTTAGAGCCAGATGCGTACCACCAGATTCGATAGATTGCTTGAAGCGTTAACGATGGGAAGACGAAGATAGCTAGTAGCTTCATTGATCTCTGCAACAAGAAACAGCACAAAGAGCTCATTCAACAAATTACCAAATTAACCCCAAAAAGCATGAAATCGGATTAAATTAAAATACCAAAATTAGCGGTGCGATTAGCGAAGACTTTTTACCTGGATTTCAGCTTCGTATCCGAGTCTAACTTTGTCGCTGACGTCTTTGAGCTTATCGAGGAAGAGAAACTTTCGAATTCCGTATTTTTTTGACCAATCAGAGAGACTAACGAACGAGATTCCGGCGAAGATCGATAGCGATAGTTGCACTAAACCGTCGTACGGACGGTGGTGTTTGAAATCGCAATCGGAGCAGATCAGGACGAAGTGAGAGATCATTGGGACGATGACTGCGAGGAGGAAGAAGACGGACCACGAAAGCAGGGTTTTAACGCGATTCGACTGATCGAACCAGAGGAGGAGTCTCGGGAACGAGAATTTGGTCGCCGGAGACTCCGGTGGTTTGTGGATCGGGTCGGATCGGAGCTTC